CTATGGGGTCCTTTGCCCCGTGAAAATTCGGCGCACCATTGCCCCTGAAGTCCTTAAATGAAAGTGTGCGAGATCCCGACTGGCCAGATGCCATGTCGCTCCTGAATGCCCGAAGGCGATCCTCCATCAGCTCAATTATCCCTTCCTTGATCGACCAGAAGATAATGGGGGTCTACTCAAGGATGCCCCTGGTGATCTCTGACGTGATGAAATCACGTAGCCTCTCATCCACCAGCTTGGAACCTGATCCCGAACCCAATCCCTCCCCTGAACTGCCAACTGCTGGTCTAGGGCGCAATACCACCATTCTGAAACACAACATAATAAACATCAGGAACACTGATATATCTTAAGGAATCACTACTACCACAAGTTTCCTAATCTCATCTCAACTTTCCTTGATTCGAGTACGGATCCTCTGCTTCCAGTAGTACGGGCCCATACTACCTTCCACATCTATCCGTACTTTCCTCAAGTACTGCCTTGACTCCACCAAGTCACTATTACTGCTAATAATCTCTGCTACTCCCATCCTAGGCTTGCCCTACGGAGTTCTCTAACTATACCCAATCCAGTCCTCAACTGTTGAAAGCCTCCTTATCATGCCAATTAGCCATCACCTGAATACCATCACATGCGGCGAGGCTCAGCTAATCCTTCAAGTAAAAGACTCGTCCCTACAACGGTTAGACTCAGACAAGAGTTGCGCAATAGGGCCAAGTCTAGTACTCTAAGATTATTCAACCATGTTCGCATATGACGTGATGCATTCACCTAATGGCTAACTCCCATCACTTAGAGTCCCACAAAGCACAAAGCAAGCAGCATTCAGATGTAGGAGACTACTCAAGCAATTCTATCCTCATAATAGGAAACTGTACAAGCGTACAATGCTAAGCTCATGATATCAGGCATAACCTAAACAAGCTATCCTACTGTTGTCTACTCAATCCTAGCATGAAATTTTCATATACTGAAGCACATAAAGCAGGAACATAAGGCATCACTCCTAAATCCTTAGTCCTATTCTAGCATGTTGTTCTACTGAAACAGATAAACCTACATAAACTTGTATGGGTACATTGGGGAATACTTACTTGAGCTCGGCCGGTCACGCACATCACACACTTTGTTCCTTCTTAAGATTCTTTACTTAATCTTTAAGAAAACATTTTCTTTTTCAAAATCTGGTAATCCCTTGATTTGAGTTCAGACACCCCTGAAGGTGTGTCTGAATCCCTCAAACCAGGGCTCTGATACCAACTTGTAACATCCCAAAAGTTATGGACCAAAAATTTCATTTTTAATTAAGTGATTTGCAAAAACGTTAGTAACAAAATATCGTTCAACCATATCATTTAATAAAACATGTCCCGTGTTTGTAAACCAGAACGTAAATCATAATAATATCATAGTACAAATCCCATAATGTCTCATAGTGCGGAAAACAAGAGCGTGTGTGTGATATGCCGCTACCGCGCCAGCTCATTCCCCTTGGCTAAAGAGGTACCTGAAACAATAACTAGAAACCGTAAGCACGAAGCTTAGTGAGTTCCCCCAACGTACCACATACCAAATAACCATATAACATACAATTATTGTCAGATATATCTGGGTGCCCGACCTACGTCTTCGGTCCTCTCGACCAGATAATGACTAGCATATTTGGGTGCTGGTCTCCCCTTCGGTCCTTTCGACCGGATACTGACTAGCATATCTGGGTGCTGGCCTCCCCTTCGGTCCTTTCGACCGGATACTGACTAGCATATCTGGGTGCTGGTCTCCCTTCGGTCCTTTCGACCGGATACTGGGGATTATTTCACCCCTACCACTAACACATAACACGTATCACATAATCTATTTAGCATGGTTGGGCATGACTTCCCCTTCGGCCCTATCGACCGGTAACCTGGGGACTATCTCCCCTACTATTGCTAGCACACAGCATCATATCGTACGAACACATAAACATAACACAGGTAGTGGCAACCCTAGATGAATATCACAGAGACAATCATCTAATCATACAATTCCTACTAGTGGGTCGGCATTGTGGCCTTAGACCCACCGCTACTGGAAGGTAACTCACCTCGAAGTAGCTGCTGAAAGTCTGCTTGCTGAGCGCCTGACTGCTGAACCGGAACCCCCGGCTACAATTTCCATAAACACTAAGTCAGATATTGATAACTAATCTTAGGGTAAAATGATTATTTTACCCCCCGATCAAAGTCAACATCCTGGTCAAAGTCAACTTCCTGGTTGACCGGACTCGCCGAGTTGGCTCGCCAACTCGCTGAGTCCCTTCCATCTGCTCTAATTCTATAGCCGATCTACTCGTCGAGCTTAGCGAAGACTCGATGCGTTCTTCCTCGATGCATACATACTAAGTCCAAGTTCATCTGACTCGCCGAGTTGAAGAACAACTCGTCGAGTCTTAAGGCAATCTTCATCGGACTCGTCGAGTTGCTCATCCAACTTGTCGAGTCCACGGCTATCTTCATAGGACTCGCCAAGTCCATGGTTCTACTCGCCAAGTTCATTCAGTCCTTTTTATATACAGACCTGATTTGAGCCATGCAACGGCTCCAAACCACAGATCTAGGCTTCTAGGGCATGCTTATCACGTAAAGTTGCAAACTTTACATGCATGCATAGCTTTAGAGGCTTTAAATGTTCAAACTAAGCTCTTAATGGGTTCTAAGCTCAAGAGGGACCTTAATCACCAATATGACCGAAACTTAGCACTTCAAGAAGCTAATAAGAGTCCAGATTTTAAGTATAACCCAACCATAAGGTTTCTCTTCAATTTTGGGGCTTAAAAGCAACAATTTATGGACAAACAAGATCTAACAGATAAATAACCAAGATGGAAACTTTATTACCAGAATGGACGACCACAAATGAATGTGTTCTGGATCTAAGTCCCCTTCCTTGACCTCTTCAACTTCTCCCTTCTTCCACTTGCTCCAAAGTGCACCAAAAGTCCCTTCACAAGGCAACAATCACTCAAACTCACCAATGGAGGCTAGGGTTTTCGATAAGGATTGCTCTGAGGGTGATGGGGACTGAGATGGGGCTGCAAGGATGTTTAAATAGGGTGCAAACCCTAAGGATTAGGGTCTCCTCCTAATTGGTCTACTCGCCGAGTCCAGGCGTGGACTCGCTGAGTAGATCACTTAAAGCCCGCATCCAACTCGACATCTACTCGGCGAGTTAGGGCTACAACTCGCCGAGTAGCTCTTCCAAAAGAAACATTTAATCAAAATAAGTACGTACCAGGAACGGGGCGTTACATTTAGGGCATCCATCTCTCTAGTGATGTTACGTCGTAGTTCATGAAGGTCGTTTGCAATCTCTTCCCTCACGAGTGATACCCCCAACTGTGTCTACAGCAGATTGATCGTCAGGTCTTCATTTGTGACTCCATTCAAGACATTCTAAGTCGTGTTCCGAGTGTAGTTGGGTGACCAACTGTGATCTTAATATGATCGTGAAGGCATCGTTCTGTGATTGGTATCGAAGTTTAGGGTGCAGTCGGGGTAACCAGGTTACAAATTTTGTCATTTTAGGGCACAAGCTTCACATTTATACGGATTCGGGGTGAACATTATGAACGTGGCCTCTACGTTTAACATTCCAAAATGACGTTGTTTAGGCCAAAGACGTAAATACGATTTCACCATGTCATCGATGATGTGTCAAATTGGGACGAAGTGGCATGGTTACCGGGTATAATAAGTAAAAGGGACTAAATTGCTAGGTTGCAACACAATTCGTTCCATCATAAAGTCACTAAAAAGTTTAGTGACTAAAAGGGTAAATCCTAGAAAGTTCATAGGTCGTATGTACCATTTTCCCTTTTTATTTTCTTTACCTCGAAAAGTGTATTGAGTATATGACAATATCCATATTAATCTATTTTATTCAAGGTTCTAAATAACGTAAGGCGTGACTTGGCGGCAATATCAAGCCTCAAGCTTTTTCGAGCCTTGGTGAGCCACGTCGTTTGTAAGACGTGACTTAAGGCGACAATTTTGTATATAATTCATATTTTGTATGCATTTTCAACTATTATTTATTTTAATACACATATAAAAGTCAGCGGCGTTTTGCTAAAGTTTGACGGCACATACAAGTCTTGGAACCATGACGAGCTTTTTAGAACCTTAGAGTTTATTTATTGTTCCTCGGTGGCTTTCAATTTTCATAACTATAATTCACCTTTAATCAAGTTTATTAATTTTTAGATGGGTACTAAATAAATAAATGATAAAAATAGTTTAATAGAATAAAATCTTTATTTCATCAATCTTATAAGTTAAATAAGTTTAATGCCATTAAAAAAATGCCTTTTAAGTATAAAAAATAGTTTTTTTTAAACTATAATTTTGTATAAGTGTGCAGATTTAAAAAAAAAAAAAAAAAAAAAAAAAAAACACTACAGATTGAGGTCATCTGGTATACCAACAACAAGCCCTTTCCTGATCTATGTGACCACTAACCACTATAGTGAACATCATCCCACTACTTAGTGGTAGCTAGTAATAGTGGTGGATTGTGGTGCACACAACGGAAAATATCGTCCAATATTTTTATTTCTCTCTATCTCTCTCTAACTTTCTTTCTCTCTCCCTACAATAAAAAAATATATTTAAAAATCAAAAAATAAAAGGATTATAGTGGTGGGTATACCAACCTTTTAGTGGTTGTTTGTGATGATGATGTGGCACCCACCACTAAAGTGATTAGTGGTAGGCATAACGGATGATCTTCACTGAAGAATATGTTATTCTTGGGAATTTGAAAAATTAGTGTGTATAACGGATCATCTAAATGAAGAATATGTCATTGGGAATTTGAAAAATTATTGCTTAGTTGTCCATTAGAGGTTTGGAGTGAATGAAAGTTGTAAGGTTATTCAAGAGAGTTGAGTGAGGATTGTGATTAGTTAGTATTTTCACTCTTGGATTAATTTTGAGAAATCATTAGTGTTAACTCTAACCGTTTTGAATTTTGATAGTGATAATCGCTATTTATAGCACAACACCTTGAACAAGAGCCCGTTTACTCATTTAGTTGTAGATATAGCATATAGCACCCGCCACCCAAAATCAATTAGCCTAAATAAAGACCAATTGGCTCGATCAATCTCCAGCTAGATAAACCGTCTAGTTGTAGCAGGACGTCAAGAAAGACCATTCACTAAAACAACATATGGGAAACAAGAATACTTCCTTTCATAACAAAAACAAATCACAAGTTTAATACAAGTAGTTACATAATTTGACACGTGTTGCATCCACCACAAACAAAAACAAGACTATCTCTTCTGGAAATTGAAGGCTCGAATGCAATACGCAAAGATGAACGCAAAGAACAAAATTAATCCAATGTGCACCCCAGCAATAACACCAAGGAAATCATGTTTGAAACCAAAGAACCTATCCAAGTAAGCTTTAACAGTTTCACCATTCGAAAGTCTAGTTTCATAGTCCCCAAATTGCGAAGCAACCATGCCATAAATAGTCCATGCCAATGGATTTCCCCAGTAATACCATCTCCACCACACAGGAATGCTCTGTTGTTATTTCAATACAACATAACAACATATAAGAACTAGAACAAGAATTTGTAAAAGAAATGGTAATAAAGACTAATGAGTGAAACTTACGGGTCGTGGAATGATGAATCCAGAAAAGAGATTGAATATCCCGTAAAACGAGGCGGCAATGATGGCGGCGATGTTGGCGTTAGGAGTGATGGCGACAGTCATCATACCATAGAAGGTCATGTAGAGTAAACAAGAGAATTGGAAGAACGCATACCAAAAGAATTTGGCAGCTGTCCATTCGAACCCAATCATAGCATACACTATGACACTGTATACCATTGTTTGCGAGAAAACATACGGAATTTCCACAAGAACCTGAAAAAAATAAAAAAAATAAAAACATTAAGAAACCGAATAGAATCATATAGGGAGAGTTTACGATCATAAATGTGTAAAACATTACCTGTGCAAATGCATAAGGCAAAGCGGAATACATCCCTGCAGCTCTTTCTCTATAAAAGACGGTCCGTTCAACATCCACAACGGGTTGCACCGATGATGCGTTTTGGACTCCCAAGAAGAGAACTGCAGCATACATAGAACCCATCGCGTTCACTAGATCTTGTTGAGTATCCCTGAAATACGTAAAATTGTTAATACTGATATCAGAGCTAGGGCACAGGTCGAATGTCGAATGTCGAATGTGGAAGCCAATCCAACACATAGGAAGGGGAATGAAACATTCCTTGTAAGGGTGTGGATACCTCTCCTTCCACGACACGTATAATTACGTGTGCCTAGGTGAGAGTAGTATTAGGATGGGTGACCCTTCGGGATGTCCTGGTGTTAGGTGTCCTAAAGCAGACAATATCTTGATACGTGTGTCTGGGATGTTAAAAATTGCTATTGACTTACATTTTACCACCGAGATCCCAGAACATGGTTCCGAACATGATCCCGATGAAGGTGGTGAAGACAAAACGTACGGCTGTGTAAGGAGGGTTTCTCCAGTAAGACAAACGTTGTTTCCATAAACAAGCAACACATTGGATGATGAAAGATTGCGAATATTGAGTTGGGTAGTATAGATCTTGTGTCCCTGAACGTGGAACACCTAATTCGGCAATTAGGGCTTTGTTTCTCCTGCAAGTCAACCATCCAGTCAACACGATGATAACATTTATTATAAGTAAAGATGATTATATTTAGAGTGGAAGATTATATACTCACTTGTAAAGATCGGAATTCCTGTAGATTTCAGTGAAATCAACTCCGAGTGTAAGTTCTTGAGCGGAAGTACTGACTTCCAACATCCAGGTAGCAGGGTTATATCCGTCTTTTATCTTACTTACGCCATCAATAGCCTGTTTTATCAAAAACATTCACGATTAGAAAACTTAATTCGAACGTATTTCAAGTTGAATCATATTTATTAATTAGATAGCTTCATGCCTCAAAGTACTCGATTATATCACAAGAATGGCGACCCACGGGGCCCACATACAGCTCTTGTCCTCCTCTTTTCATCAAGAACAACTGCAAAACCGATTATGATTAGAGCAAATTGAACAACATAAGAACGAATGGTTGAATAGTAATTAAGTGCAAATTCTAACCTCATCAAAAGCTTCAAAAATGTCGATACTTGGTTGATGAATGGTGCAAACAACTGTTCTTCCTGTGTCGACTGTGTTCCTCACAGCTCTCATAACAATGGCAGCAGCTCTCGCATCAAGACCAGAAGTCGGCTCATCCATGAATATTATAGACGGGTTAGCCACTAACTCAACCGCTATTGTTAACCGCTTTCTTTGTTCAGTTGACAAACCATTGACACCTGGCAATCCAACTAACGCATCCTTCAATGGATTCAATTCCACAAGGTCCATCACTTCATCTACAAATTGCTGTAAACAAACAACATTCAACTTGAGAAACCCTAATTGGCTAAAGAAAAGATGTTGAAAGTTGAAAAAGGGTAGTATAACGGACCTTTCTCTTGTGTTCATCAACATCTGTGGCTAACCTGAGCCAGGCTGAGTATAGCAAAGACTCGTAAACAGTAACATGAGGTGAATGGATGTCGTTTTGTTCACAATATCCAGAAATACGCGCAAATGTTTCTTGTTTTTTTGGATATCCGGAAATCTTGACATCACCATCGATGTAGCCACCAGTTTTCCGGCCAGCAAGCACATCCATAAGAGTGGTTTTTCCGGCCCCACTGACTCCCATTAGAGCTGTGAGAACACCAGGCCTGAAAGCTCCACTGACACCCTTGAGTAGCAGTAGTCTGTCTTCACCCACCCCTTGATCTTTCATTTCCTACATTAGTTTCCATAAACCCATCAGTAAAAAATTTTGAGATTTGTTGCTTGATATGAAAGAAGGAATTTGCCCCACATTGGTAGAATGAAACAAAAAAGGTGGAGTCCAAGATTTTGGTGTCAAAGTTTCCTAATTAAATACACTTGAAGTATTTGGTTCTTTTATTTTCTACTTGTGTTTTATAGAGTGCAAAAATATGTGAGTTAAGTCTTTGGAGGGTGTGGGTATAACAGGGGATCGGGTTGAAAGTTTTGTCTATGTGATTGTAATAATTTATCGTTTAGTGAATTTTTCTCTGTAGAGGCCCATGGTTTTTCTCCGGTTTTTAGATTGTTTTTCCAGCAAAATTCTCATATTGCACGTTTGAATTCATCAAATTCAACCATCTACAAGTACAATTACGATTATGTTACCTGTGGCATATCGACTGAGTATTTGACATCATCGAAGGTAATTGAATGTGGTTCAAATGGAAGGATCATTCCTTTCTTCTTGATTTGAGTGCCCTCGTCTCCATCCTTCTTCAAAGTTAATAACTCAACGGCTGCTTCATCATCATCACCTGATGCGTTACCTTGAGTTTTTCCAAAAGCTGTAAAACAAGAAAAACAAAATGTTAGATTAAAAAATCATCCATAACAAGATTTGATTAATATCACAAAGATATGAAACTCACGTTTGAGCAAGGCTAGAGATAAACCGAACATGATGTTGAAAACAAGAACAAATCCAATCAAGGCTACAACTGCAATCCAATACCAGTAAGCTTCTGCATAAAACCCTCTACCCGTGATGACCATTTTCCCTAGTGTTGTCCCATTCAAAGGCTATCAATAAAAAAAACATTTCAAAATGTAAGTTCGAAAGATTATATAGAATAAGATAAACACATAAAAGATAAAACAAAGGTTTATGTAACTTACTGTTCTCCAACCATGTCCTAAAAACTCGTTCACTACAATTCCGTTCATTGCATACATCATAGGAGATGACCAATACCCCCATACCCACCATTTCTTCACATCATCTTCAATAAATTAACAAAAATAATAAACGTGTCTTAGTTGAGAAATAGAAGTAAAAGAAATCACGTTATACGTTTCTGAAAAAGTTAAATACCTCGTGAAAGGACAAAACCACCCAAAGCAAACACTAACAGAAGTGCAAATGAACCAAACGTGTTTGCAACAATCATGTTTCTTCCAAGAGCCCCAATGAACCGAAATAATCCAGAAGACATTTGGTTAACAAGTAGTAGAATCACATACTGTTTGAAGAATCTGCAAAAGTTTTTTAACAAAACTAGTAAAGATTAATTAAAGATACAAGTTTTGACTTTTAATCAATAATCTTGAAAGGTGATTATAATTACCTTGAGATGTTAGGATCGAACCCCACGACATAGTAAGTGAGAATTGTCCAAACAGCAGCTTCAAGAAATGAAACGGGAATCTTGATGACCCAAGATGGAAGAGCATAAGCCCACGAGGGGTAAAACAGGAAATCCCGTTGCTTGTAGAACACAGGAAGTTTTGCGATTGTCATTGAAATTTCAGACATCCCATTAAACATAATCATAACCACACCAAAAAACAGAGCACCGGTATACAATCCTCCATCTTCTAAAGTATTTCTATGCATCTCAGTTCGGAAAAACACAGTCAAAGTCACTAATGACATGAATGTAAGCTGAAAACACAAAAAAATATGATATCGATTAGAATTATTAGAACCAATATGTTAAAAGCGCAAATTACAGAAGAAAAACCTAATATTTGGGACAATTTGAAGGGTAACAATGTCGCAAAACTTACTTGGAACAATTTGAAGATATAGACAAAAGAGTTTCTTTTCATCAACAAGATTTCTCTATCTGTGCAAGCTTTCAAAAGCTCCTTCCTGTTCAAACCATATTTTTCATTCGTAAGAGCAGCAGGATGACTTTTACTTTTATCATACGGAGTCGCCAAAGCATCTCCCAATTTCCTTCCAACATGAAACGATTGATACGCCTCTGCAAATTCCTTAGCTGTTACAAATCTATAAGGTTCATCTCTTCGCATCCAATACTGTTGTTGATCTTTCTTCGATGTCACCTGTAAACACAATTTCAACATCAGTCAACGATAGTCAAAATGTCAACAAACTTAGTCAAAGGCGAGTATATACTACTACTTACTTCTTGTAAGAAGTCAGCGACACCTTTTCTTGTTGGGCATTTGAAACCCATTGATTCGAAAAATTCAAGAACGTTTTCACGTGGACCTTGGTATACAATCTTGCCATCAGTCAAAAGTATGATGTCATCAAACAAGTCGTATGTTTCTGGAGCGGGTTGAAGAAGTGAAATGACGGCTGTTCCTTCTAGAATGTGAAGAAATTGTTTAAGTGAATTCACGATTTGGTAAGTAGTGGAACTATCAAGCCCTGTTGAAATTTCGTCCATGAGAAGAACCTTATTTGGTCCAACAATCATTTCACCTGTAAGTAAAGTAACATTTCACCATTTTAACCTTATTAATCAAAAGAATCTTTGAAAAAAAAAAGATTAAAAAAAAGTTGAAATTTTTACCAGTTGTTACACGTTTCTTTTGTCCACCGGATATACCCCTGATCATTTGATCCCCTACCATGGTATCTGCACAGATGTCCAATCCCAATAGCTTCAGAGTATAATCGGTTACTACACTAGCTTCTTGACCTTCAGTAGCAGCAGCCTGAATGAAAAAGAATAAAGATTTTGAATTTCGATCATGAAAGATTAAAAAAAAAATAAAAAATTGTTTTTTTATTCAATCTTTTGCTACCTTCATGAAGACATCAATATCGGGATCAGGTTTTATGTTTGCATCTCGCTCTCTTCTCGACAATTCAGCCAACATCTCTGTAATTTTTTGTACAAATTATGTTATACAAAACTTTATAAATTTCAAAAAAGAATAATGAACGAAAACAGAAAAATAATTTGAAACTAACCATAACGTGAACCAACTCCTTGGCATCTTGCTGAAAAAGCTAAAGTTTCTCTCACAGTCATTTCTCCAATGTGGACATCATTTTGACTGATGTAAGCTGAAGTTCTTTCGGGTACAAATTCATGCAACTCGTGCCCATTGTAAGTCACCTTACCAGAACTCTATATTTACGAAAAAACCAATTAGTTAAAGTTCTAGAAGGGTGACGATAAAGATCCACAAAGGGGTAAAGATGTAAATTTACCTTAAGCGATTTGTCGAGTGTCCCAGCCAAAGCTAGCAAGAGGGTCGTCTTCCCAGAACTCGGTGGACCCAAAAGTAATGTCATTCTACATAAGTTTTGTTAAAGATTATGAGTACTATTAATTTAATATATAATTTTAATGAAAAAAAAAAAAAATTGTTTTTATCACCTGCTAGATTTAATGCAACCACTAACATCATCGAGAATAGTTATATGTTTCTTTGAATTCGGAAGTAGATTGAATCTAGCCAATAACCCCTATGAGACATAAACATGAACAGAAAAAATTAAGTAAAAGTATTATTAAATAGATCAAATCTGACTTCGATTGAATTCTTACCTCGAAAAAGTCAATATGGAAGTTAATGAAACTAGGTAAAGCTCGACTACCAGTGTTAACATCTGCTTCGACAGTGACATGTTCATATCTAACTTCGATTGTCGGCAAATCAATCCCAACTCTACAAAATTCCCAAAAAAAATCATTAAACGATCACGATTGAAATCAAGAAATGAAAAATAATAATAATAATAATAATAATAAAGAGGGAAAATGGTAACCTGTCGAGTCTGGCCCTGAGCTTCAACAAGAAGTTCTCATTATCTTCATCGGCAGTTTTGACAAGCCTATCGAGTAAATGTTTTCGATCTTCTACTCCAAGATTGTCGATATCAACTTCGTTAGATGGTCCAGTTGATCCGAAAAGTAAACCTTTCTTTAAACGATCGAAAGTTGGTAGCTTTTCAAGAGAAGCCCATTTAAGAGCTTCTTCATCGTCGTCTTCGCGGGAAGATTTCGAGAAAACATCCATGCCGGAATTCCTCCATACTGAAGTACTTCCAGATCTTAAACTTGGTACTCGTGTACTCCCTGCTCTTAAACTCCCTAACCTTATACTATTTGCCGCTTTGTATATGTCACTTCCATCCATTGTTACTGAAAACGCTAATCAAAACCCCCAAATTTTTGGCCAAGAATCCAAATTTTGTATGAACTCCCCTGAAGTAATTAAAAACCTGGTGGGGTTTTTTGATGAAAGTCGAAGAACAGTGTGATATTTATGGGGAAGAGAGAGAAAATGTATCTTGTAGATGGTGTAGTCTGTAAAGATACAAATCGTTATATGGGAGATGGGAGATTGAAGATGATACAGGTGTGTGTTGTATCAAGGTGTATACTTTGTAAGGAAAGCAAATCTTCTTTTTAAAGGATTTGAGGCGGCTATGCTAAATGAATGGGAAAGAACAGCGCAGCCTCAGGCGGCTAAGTTTGAATTATTGTTGGAAGATACTTCTTCCTTTTGTTCCAGAACAAAACATCGTAATAAAATGAATGAATTGCAGAATCAGTCCCTTGTATTATTGCTTTTAACTCAGAAATAAAATATATAATAGTACGTAACAGACCTTTCGTTTGATTGCAGAATCAGTCCCTTGACTCTATTGCCAATGGTATTACAAATCGGATTTGTTAGAAATGGGGTATAGAAAAAGCTTGGAAATTTTGAGAATTATGGTTTTCACTTTCAAATTAAAGTATTTGGGTAGTACTTACAATCTTTAATCAGATAAGACTAAGAATTGAGAGAAACAGAAGAGATAATGTTTTGATGTTATCAAGAAGAAGTGTACCAACCACCGATTCGGATATGATCATATAACAGAAAAAACTTCATGTCTTAAAACTGCCACATAACAGTTTTATATCCTAAAACTATCCACAAACGGTCATAAAGAACCTTAAATCTGGGTCTAGAATATGGATCACAAACGGTCAGCTCGATCCCAGCCATGGGCTCTGCCCCTTGGACCCTGCCAAGGGCTACCGCCCCTTGGACCCCGCTCCCAAGGGCGCTGCCCCCAGACCCCCGTCAGTTTAGGGGCTTCGCCCCTAAATAGCAGTATATTTTCAACAAAGACAAAATTAAACAAATGTGCACTCCACACCATACCGATTTGTGCAATAATTATCAAAGTGAAATTGATCAACAAATTAACCCCATTACACTTAAATAATATTAGTGATATAAAATCACCAACAAACTTCCCCCATTTAAGTGTAATCTTGATTAACTTAACATAAAAATCATAACAATAACAAAGTGATGCATAAATGAAATATCGTAACGATTGAATTTTACATTAGTATATCACTCATTCCAAATATTCGAATATCAGGGTGTCACTAAGAATTGAACCCTTTCTATTCTAAGTGAATACATGAAGATAATATACACAACAGTTTACATTCTCAAAATTCTAACTTGACACTATATTTTACTAGCTTGTGTCCCATCCTTCAATAAGCATATTGAAGCCAAGTCCTAACTTCTTGAAGCAACTAAACTTCATGCTTATATATGTAGTCCTTTTATTCTTGTACCTACAAATGCAATTTTTCAAAAGAACTATTAAGAATATAAATTCAACCTCGTTAACTTGCAGTACTGAACGCATACCTTGGGATGATAATAATAATGTGTTCTCATCTTTAAATATCAAGCTTTCCACGTTGAATTCAACATCTAATATTACATTAGATGGGAATTGGGTATCTAAATATAAAAGATTTTAAGTGGACTTTAAGCTCATCCCTACAGCCGCCTTGTGAACAAGATCTCTTGCTAACCCTTTGGTTAGATGATCGGCTAAATTCAACTGAGTTCTTACAAACTCCACAGATATCACACCAGTCATGATGAGCTCACGAATCATGTTATGTCTAACACCTAAATGTCTAGACTTTCCATTGTACAGTTGACTATAAGCCTTAGCCAATGTTTCAGCACTATCACATCTAATAGAAATGGTAGATATGTGTTTGGGCCATAATGGAATTTCATAAATCAAATTCCTTAGTCACTCAGCTTCTTTACCAGTAGCAGACAATGCAACAAACTCAGACTCCATGGTTGAGTTAGTAATATAAGTCTGTTTCTTAGATGCCTAAGAAATGTCACCTCCTCCAAGAAGAAACACCCAACCACTTGTAGAGGAGTGATCCTCTAAGTTGTTAATCCAGCTGGCATCTGAATAAACTTCCAAACCAGAAGGATATCCACTATAAGTTAAACAATAATTAATAGTCCCTTTCAATTACTTGAATACTCTACTTACAGCTTGCCAATGATGTGAACTAGGATTACTAGTATATCTACTAAGCTTTCCCGCAGCATATGTTATATCAGGCCTAATACTAATCATGGCATACATTAGACAACCAATAGCTCTTGAGTATTCAAGTTGAGACACTGGAGATCCTTTATTAGGTAAAAGCTTATGACTAGGATCTATAGGAGTGCTAACAGGAGACCAATTCTCAAAATTAAACTTTTTCAAGATCTTCTCAATATAATGAGATTGAGAAATTGAAATCTCATTGTTTCCTTTTCTAATTCTTATACCAAGAATTACCTCAGCCTCCCCCCATGTCTTTCATATCAAAACTAGATAATAAGAATTTCTTGGTTTTATCAACTTCTTCTAAATCAGTACCAAAAACCAACATATCATCTACATATAAGCAAATCATGACTCCTTTACTAGGAGTATCAAATTTGAAACCCTAAACCCACTTTCTCTCTCTTTGTTTCTCTCTCTTCTCTGGCGATTTTGGCGATTTCCCGTTTTTTCCTTTGTTTTTCCGGCACCGATCGTTATTCCGACAGTGTTTGATCGTGACTTTGGTCTCATTCTTCTCGTCTCTTCATTCTCTATCTATTGATACTAGTGATTTGGGTTCATGGAAGGTGTTCCACCGGACATAGAACCTGATGTTATAATGTCAAAAAAAAAAAAAAGGAAAGGTGCGAAATCAAGAAATAAGCAGAAAACTGATATTGAAACTCCTTCTGGTGGTGGAAAAGAAGCGATTCCTATTGCGATTAAGAGCTCTGATTCACCAATCGTTAAAGAGGGTGAGGTTTTGGGATCGAAGGCTTCGTCAATTAATTTGTCTGATGATGTCGCTGCTTCTTCGGTGGTTACCCCTTCCATCAGTACTTCAATAAAGATGGAGAAACGTTCGTTTGGTGATTTGGTTTCCCTAGTGCATGAATTTGAGAAAGATATCACTCAATTTTGCAGTCTTGGAGAGAAGAATTCTATGTTGGTGTTCTGGAATAGCTTATCTGCTAGCGAGAAGGAGGGTTTTGTTCATGGCCTTAGATTCACGAAGAGGAAGTATAACAATGGTAATGATTCTGAAAATTCTTTTGAGGAATCAATTGATAATGTTAAGAAACTATCTTCTGTTAGCCATAGAAATGATTTGCTTTTGAGATGGAAGGATCTCAGCAATAAGAAGGAGATGGTCTTTCATAAGCTCTGTACTAGCAAAGTTAAAAAACAAGTGGAAGCTAATTTTGGTAAGAACAGAATTCCTTTTAATTCTTCTTCTTCCTTATTCCCAGTTTCGATTGAGATGAAGAGATCTTCTGAGCTTGAAGCTTCTGTTGGATTGAAAAAAGTTGGGGATACAATTGCTAGAGTTTTGCCTGAGGGTGTTCCTATTTCAGAAGATAATGAGCCTGTTATTGTTAATTTGGAAAAAAAAAATAATTCTATGCAGCATTTAGCTAAGGTTAAGAAAGAGAAAGGAAATTTTGAAATTGATGAGATGGTTAGCAAGCAGTTGGAGGAGGTTTGCAATAATATTGTTTATCATTTTCCTAGTAAATTCAGTCATTTGGACATTGTGAATAATGGTGAATTCAAATTTAATTATGTTGATGAAGAGATTGGTGGCAATGATGGAAAAATGGTTGTTGATGAAAATGTGATTATGAAAGAAAATGCTAAAAATCTTAATGGTGGTTTGCCTATTTCTGATGTTATGTTGGAGAATGCTAAGCCTGGTATAGCTCAGGAGAAGAAGGATATGCAACAGCCTAATTCTATTGGTGTGGATTCTATAATAGGGGAGAAAGTTTCGTATGCTGAGAAGGTTAGTGGGAAGATTCTCAATGCTGCAAATCTTATTTCTGTGATTAAAAAGGATCCCAAGCTTCCTGATGGAGTTGTTGAGATGTCGTATGGAGATATTTTGAAAGGCTTCAGCCCTTTTAAAACTACTCTGTATGGTTATTTCATTGATAAACATATTAATTTTTTTTTTAATTTCAATAAGTATGCTCATAATATGTGGAGAAAATACGGATTGGAGGAAGTCATGGTCAATGATGAGGGAATATACTTCTTTCGATTTAGTTCTGAACATGGAATGATTTCGGTTCTGGAAGGAGGTGTGTGGATGATTTTTGAAAGTGCTTTGGTTGTGAGAAGGTGGACTACAGGGGTGAGTTCAGTCAAAGGCCAACATGACAAAGTTTCGGTTTGGGTAAAAGTCTATAATGTCCCTCTTGAGTACTAGAATGGAACAGGGCTTAGCCATATTGCTTGGGAAATTGGCAAACCTTTAGATGTGGATGCTCATACAGCGAAAATGTGTCAAGATCACTGGGGTAGGCCGGCATTTATGAGGATTTTGATTGAGATGTCTGCTTCTAAAGATTGGTTAAAAGAAGTCCAAGTTTATTCGTCTGACTTGACTACAGGAGAAAGGATTATCTCAAAATGCAGGGTTGAATATGCTTGGAATCCTTCCAAATGTTCTCATTATAAAGTTTATGGGCATAAGGAGCCTAAATGTGGGATTCTTCTAGCTAAACAAGTTCGAGAAATAGACAATAATTCTAAGATGGGTAAAAATAAGTAATAAGCTAAGATTGATTTAATGGAAGTTTTAATAGCAAGCACAAAAAAAGTTGAAGAGGATGAGGAGGGATTTCAAACTATTTTTAAGAAAAATAAAAAGAAGAATTCAGAAGATAAGGTGAAGAAAGAAACTGAGAAGAAGAATCAGGTGATGTCCCAAGGGCATTATGGGAAATCTCAAAATAATGGAAAGAAGTGGGTGGATTCGAATGTTGGAAATCAAGGGCAAAATGGGAATAAATTTTGTAAATCTGGAAATAATAATGGAGGAAATCAAAGGATCAAAGGCAAAGGAAGTTAGGGGTATAATGGGAATTTTTGGTTTATGACTGGCAATCCAAAAGATTTTAAGTTTGATCAGGGGCAACATAGTAAAATCGAAAAGAGCTTGGATAAGGGCAATATCGTAGGGGCTGATTTGGAAGTAAAGGGTAATTTGGGGAATAATATCATGAGTCGTGTTAATTAGGAAGCTAATATGAAAGATGTTTCTGGGAAAAAAGATTTTAACCGGTCTTCTTATGTTCCGAATTCTGGGGCTGATTTCAAAATCAGTTCAAACTTTGATAAAATCTTCCATTATGAGAAAAATCGAGAGCTTGTGAATCTTTTTTCTAATAACAAATTTTATGTTCTTAAAGACTTAGAAAATGAGAATCAATTTATTTTCTCTAAAGGAGGTGTTGTTGAAGTTGATTTAGATTATTTGGACACTGTGGATCAAATGGAAGTCATAAGTAGTATCCCGGGTTTGGATACTAACATGGGGAATATTATCAATGAAGATTAATTTTAGTTTCTAGAACGTGTGGGGATTGATTTTTTTTCCCATGCAAAAAGATATTGGATTCTGGAATTTATGGTTGGTTTGTGATATTAGTTTTTTTCAAGCCATGGATTATTTTTTTCGTGTATGTGGCTACTTTTCTTTCTTTGATTCGGGGATTAATAGCTACATGAAGATTGAAGTCTTTGAAGATTCTTCTAGTGGGATGAGCTTTGCTTTTGATCTCATTGTTTTTTATTTTAGAAGCTATGTTTGGTTCCACTTGATGTAGTGGAATTGGACTTGGAAGTGGATTGGTTGGTGGAGCTTAGATAGTTTTTGTATTTTTTTTCCTAGTTGTTAGCTTGTTAGTTGTCTAGTTTGGTTTTTGTAGTTATCTTTTTTTGGGGCGGTGGCCCTCTTCTCTTTGTAATGTTTTTCTCTTTTTAATAATATTTGCCAAGGGGTTTTTCCCTTTTATCAAAAAAAAAGTATCAAATTTGCTATATACAAACTTGTCAGCTTGGTTTAATGCAAAACCATTAGACAAGACAACATCATCAAACTTTTGATGCCATTGTTTTGGTGCTTGTTTCAAACCATATAATGATTTCTGTAACTTGCACTCTTTGTGTTCATTTCCAGGCATCACAAACCCTTCAGGTTGTTTCATGTATATTTCCTCATCCAAGTCACCATTCAAGAATGCAATTTTCACATCCATTTGGTGAATCACAAGATTATTTATGGATACAAGAGCTAATAATAATCTAATAGTAGAAATTCTGGCAACAGGAGCATAAGTATCAAAGAAATCAATGCCTTCCTTTTGTCTAAAGCATTGGATAACCAATCTGGCTTTATAGTTATCAATAGTGTCATCCACCTTCATTTTTCTTTTGAGGATCCATTTACATCCTAATGCCTTGCAACCAGGAGGTAAATCAGATGATACCCAAGTATTGTTATGCATGATAGAATCAATCTCATCATGAATTGTCTCTTTCCAAAAATAAACATCCCTAGAAGCCATAGCTTCACCGAAAGTCTTTGGATCCTCTTCAATATTAAAACAATATTGATGTTGAGAAATAGTCTCATTCCTTTTTCCTTCAACTAAATATAGTTGAAAATCAGATCCAAAAGACTTAATTTTTCTAGCTCTGGTGCTTTTCCTAGGTTCAAAACTTGCACCACCAGAAACATCTTCAACTTGAGTAGTACTCTTGCTGGAAGACTGATGAACCATGTCCCTTGGTCTAGGTATATATGTAAATCTTTCTTCATCAAAGATAGCATCTCTTGGCTCTATCATTGTGTTTACAGACACAGAGTCATTAGATTCTAAAACATAGAATCTATATGCTTTGGAATGCTCAGTATATCCAATATTAGTGAGCCTTACAACTGCTCTACAACCCCAAACTTTGAGATAACTCAAATTTGGTACCTTTTTACACCAAAGTTCATAAGGAGTATTCTTACTCCTTTTATTTGGAGTTCTATTTAATATGTAACATGCAGTTAACATTGCCTGACCCTAAAACCCTTCACTTAACCAGAATATGACAACATGGAATTAACCATTTCTTTCAAAGTCCTATTCTTCCTTTTAGTTACACCATTTTGTTGTGGTGTATATGGAGCTGTGGTTTGATGTATTATTCCAGTTGATTCAAAATAAACTGGATCATAATAGTCACCACCTCTATCAATACGCAATACTTTTATTAATTCATTTTTATGAAGCTCAACTTGTTGTTTATAAATTTTAAATTTATCAAGTGCTTCATCCTTAGAATGTAGCAAATAGATATAACAATATCTGGATGCATCATCAATAAAAGTAATAACATACTTCTTGTTTCCAAGGGAAGGTGTTGCATGGAAATCACATAAATCACTATGTATAAGATCCAACACCTTGCTTTCCCTAACAACATCTTTGAAAGGTTGTCTAGTGATTTTAGTTAGCATGCATGTTTTACATTTTTCATTATTTTGCATATCAAAAGCATGAATTAAACTCATTGTAAACATGTCTTTTAATCTCTTTTAATGAATGTGTCCTAGTCTAGCATGCCATAATTCAGATTTATGAAAATTATTACTAGTACTACTAGAAGCCATGCAAACATAATTATCACTAGAAGGATAATTAATATTAAGCCTAATCATTCCATTACATACATATCCAAATCCCATAAAAGAACCATGTCTTGAAAAGATATACTTGTCACTTTCTAATACTTGTTTATAACCACAATTATTTAATAAAATTTCAGACACGAGATTCTTACGAATCCCTGGAACATATAAAACATTGTTCAAACACAAACATTTCCCAGAAGTAAAAGCAATTAAAACAGATCGTATGCCCTTGATTGGTTCAGTTGCAACATTTCCCATTTTCACAACAGATCCATCATCAATTGGTTGAAAGTCCTTGAACCAATATTGATCTTTGCAAACATGACTTGTTGCTCCCGAATCAACCCACCATGCAACATTATCATCCTACACATAAAATGCTTCAGAAATCACAGAAATATAATTCTGAATATATTTAGACTTCTGCATGAAAACAGAATTCTGACCTTGTTGCTTTTCTGGATCCTTGGATCCACTTGGTCCTGCACCATCCTTGTTCACTTTACGCAAATGACAATCTTTCTTGAAGTGACCCGATTTGTTACAATTCCAACACACCACTTTAGCCTTATTGTTGGAAGACTTTTCATCCTTTCCTTTAAACTTCCTTTTTCCATTAGACTTCTTTTGATTCTTTGATCCTTCTCCATCCACCATGTTCACAGAAGAGGAACCAACTTGGTTCTTGCCTTTGGGATTATAATCAAGTTCTTGAGTCCTTAAGGACTCTTCAATCCGTAAATGGCTTCCAAGTTAAGTTGAAGTCAATTCCTCTTTGTTATGTTTCAGATTGTGTTTAAAATCCTTCCAGGAAAGGGGGCAGTTTGTCAATGATCACAGCCACAACAATGGCTTCATCCATTTTCAGATTGTGTTGAGCAAACTGTCCTAGGATCCTTAACATTTCATGGTATTGTTCCATAACAGGCCTGGAGTCAATCATCTTGTAACCCATAAAGTTACTGATAAGAAACTTCTTGCTAGAAGCATCTTCAGTCATATACTTGGATTCAAGAGAATCCCATAGTTCTTTTGCAGATTCGAAATTTTGATAGATATCAAAAAGAGAGTCAGACATACCATTGAGAATATGACCATGACATATGTAATCATCATTTTCCCACTTTGATCTTCTTCTTGTTGCCCCCAAAGGTTCATCTTCAACAGATTCTGGTAAGACTGGCATGGGTGTACTCAGAACATACACTACTTTCAGAGTGGTAAGGAGAAACTTCATCTTCTTCTGCCACCTACGGAAATCTTGCCCTTTAAACTTGTTCAGTTTTTCAAACTTGCTTGTCATTTCCTTCACATAATCACTACTTGCCATGATCACAGGAATACTTTAATCTTTGTAAGAAACGGGGTATAGAAAAAGCTTGGAAATTCTGAGAATTGTGGCTTTCACTTTCAGATTAAAGTATTTGGGTGGTACTCCCAATCTTTAATCGGATAAGACTCAAAATTGTGAGAAAATAGAAGAGATAATGTTTTGATGTCATGAAGAAGAAGTGTACCAACCACAGATTCGGATATGATCATATAACAGAAAAAATTTCTTGTCTTAAAACTGCCACATGACAGTTTTATGTCCTAAAACTGTCCACAAACGGTCATAAACAACCTTAAATCTGGGTCTAAAATATGGATCACAAATGGTCAGCTCGATCCCAGCCAAGGGCTCTGCCCCTTGGACCCCGCTCCAAGGGGTGTTGGCCCCGGACCCCCATCGATTTAGGGGCTTCGCCCCTAAATAGTAGTATACTTTTAACAAAGAAAAAATTAAACAAATGTGCACTCCACACCATACCGATTTGTTCAATAATTGTCAAAGTGAAATTGATCAACAAATTAACCTCATTACACTTAAATCACATTAGTGATATAAAATCACCAAAAAGATTTTGGATAATCCAAGAATAAGAAATCTAGATTTAGGCTGAATCATAGATTCGAACACATAAATATTTTGTTTTGTTTGATTTGTGGATAAGAAAACAAAATTGGTAGGGTAATTGTATGACGACAACTCTTTCATTTATTTGAACAAACAACACATATATTTTTTTGAACAACTTAACATATACAACCACTAAATCATATTTTTATACTACTCATTTATCTATGAGAAGACTTAAACCCACATCCTCTTACGGGAGGGATATTTTTTCAAACATATTGATATCGTTAGGCCAAAACCCATTTGACATAACTTCCTCATTTTTTCAATTTAAGGAGAAAAAATCAGTTATATTTTATAAAAACTAATATGTTTAAAATAAAATAATTAACACGTAAAAAACTTATGATTTTTTTATAAATATAACAGTATATTGATTAGAAGTATTCATTAAATTTTTATGATTTTTATGATCTTTTTGGATTTCTATAAAAATAAAAAATTATAACTTTTTTTTTCAAATTTTTATGATTATGTTCATTTAAAAGAAAATTAATGTTTAAAAACTCTAATTTTTTTATAATTTTTCTAAAGATAAAAAAGCTACAAAAAATTACGATGAAAAACAAAGTGAGTGGTTAGTTTTAACGGAAAAAATAACTGCTTTGCAGTAGGAACAAAGTTTGTTGCGAACTCGATGGTCATTTTTGAAAAGGTAAATTTCTTTCGTTACTTTGGTTACTTTTTGTTATGATTTAGTTCTTTTTTTAAAATAACTTATGCTCTAATATTTATTTTACTAAACACATCTCTTATTATTTATTATATTTCCGATTTAAGTTTTTTTTTTTTTTCAAATAAAATATGTATACAACAAATAAAAAGTATACAAATAACATCATCCTAGAATAAAGCATTTCTCAAATGTTAAATCCTGGAATTTTGACTTGCAAAAAGTACAATGTAAGGCAAC